TCCCTCTCTCTCCCCAGTCCACTTCACTATGCAGCTCTTATTCTGGACTCTTGTCATGAAAATAATACCTAATCATATACTCCTTTTATACAGTTCTCTCCCTCATCTGTTTCAATGTTGTGTACATTATTTATCCCCTCTTTTCTTAATTTCCCCTAGGCCCCCACGTCAATCCTGCTTTATAACAGTGGCACTATGCAGTATTTGTCTTTTTATGACTGACATATTTCACTCAGCATAATGTTCTCTAGGGTCACCATCCATAATGTATAATATTTCATGAGTTCTTTGTTTTTCACTGTTGCACAATATTCCATTATGCAAATATATCATAGCTTCTCTATCCATTCATTTGTTGATTGGCATTTGGGTTGTTTCCAACTCTTTACTATTGTGAACAAAGCAGCAGCAAATATGGATATGCATATATCTGCTTGGGTGGCAGTTCTGGATTCTGTATATTCCCAGTAGTGAAATTGCTGGGTCAAAAGGTATCTCTATTTGCAACTTGTTGAGAAAGTGCCATACTGCCTTCCATAGTAGTTGCACCATTTTACAGTCCCACCAACAGTGAAGAAGGGTCCCAGTTTCTCCACAACCTTGCCAGCATTTGTTGTTTGCTGTTGAATTTTGCTGTTCTTACTGGGGTGAGATGATATCTCACAGTTGTTTTGATTTGCATCTCTCTTAGAGCTAGGGATTTTCAACATTTCTTCATATGTTTGTTCATCTGAATGTCTTCTTTGGTGAAGTATCAGTTCACATGTTGTACCCATTTGTCAATTGGGTTTTTTACCTTTATCTTCTTGTGGTGCTTGAGTAGTCTATAAATTCTAGATATAAGTTCCTTACATGACATGTCATTACCAAATTTTTTTTCCCAATCTGTGGCTTCCCTTTTGACCTTGGAGAAGTTTTCGGATGTGCATAGGGATTTGATTCTCAGAAGGTCCCATTCTTCTATTTTATCTTTTCCTGATTGTAAGTATTCTAGCTGTTTCTGAATAATCTTCAGTAATATTTTGCTCTTCAGGCTTTGGTCTTCCCAATCACTTGTTATGCATCAGAGATTTGGACAATGGCCAAGGAGGATAGAAGGAGAATTGATGCCTTTGAGCTGTGGTGCTGGAGAAGAGTATTGAGAATACCATGGACTGCTAGGAAAACAAACAGATTTGTCCTGGAGAGGGTTAAGCCTTGGAGGCAAGGATTCTGAGGCTCCGTCTAACATACTTTGGACATGTTGTGAGGAAAGACCAGTCCTTGGAGAGGGACATCATGCTTGGGAGGGTGGAGGGACAGCACAGGAGAGGAAGGCCCTCTATGAGGTGGATTGATTCAGTGACTGGGATAATTGGGATGGGAGTTTCAGAGACGGTGCGATTGGCACAGGACAGAGTGGAGTTTAGGGCTGTTGTACATAGGGTCGCTATGAGTCGCAGGCAACTCGACGGCACATAACAACAACAACAACAACAACAACAACAACAATATTTTGCTTACATGTAATAGTACTGACATTGTTCAACAGCTTCCACATTCTGTTGGATCACCTTTCTTGGGTGAAAGATTCACACTACTGAATGGGGTTTGATGTTCTTACACACTAAGTCCTAAGCCCCCTACCAAGTTTTATTGCTTCCAACAAACTTTTCTCTAGGGCAAATCTTTCCTTTCTAGCATATTCAATCAAAAACTAGCTGAAGACAGAGTTATTTTCTTCCTCTAAATTGAAATATATCATTGTAAAACTTAGTATTCATTTTTACAATATGTTTTAGTACATCAAATAGAGTTAAATCAACAAAAGCCTTAATAAATCTTACAATATATCTTAAAATTGCACATCCTTCATATTCATTTTTATCACATATCTTGATATTACAACATTGATGAAGAATCAATATACATTAAATGTCCAAATAAGCGCATACCTTTTAATGCATTTAATCTTAAGCCTTTAAGTGTATTTTAGTTCACTTTTCTGGTCTCTGACATTTTGCTGGAGAAAGTTATTTCTTTGCTTTGAATCTTTTTCTCTAAGTAATAACACAATGTTAAGTTCACCCCTTTGCTTGACCCATTTATTCATTTCTTTACCCTCAGCAATTATTTCCTCTTCCTCCCACTTATTTATTTTAACCCAAACTTTTCCACCCTGAGAAGGAACATCAGGGTCAGCTACTCTGCTAGTCTAAACAACAGATAACAAGATCAGGCTGGCCAATGCTTCCCTTTTAGTCCATTCACATTCATCTTGGGTAGGGTTACATAGGTACAACACCAATAAGCTACCTCCTCTGCTAGGCAGGACACTAGTGTTCACAATTAACCTTAATGTTGAAAAATAGGATGAAAATACAAGCTATCTCATTAGATCCTTGGGAATTTTTGTGTACAAGTTTAAGGGTATTATTGCAGTTGTTTGCTCAGGAATCACTTCCTCTTCTGAATCCTGTAGCTGCATCCCTGGACCTGGGACTGTAGCATCTATAAAGAAGAAATCAATTTCAGGTACTTCATACAATCATTCTCATACATTGAGCTTTATAAAATTAAGAATGCTCAACATTTAAAAAAAAATCCAAAGAACATGAGCAGAAAACATGATTGTCTGAAGGCAGGATATATATATAACAAACCCATAAAAAGATACCCAGCAGGAAAAATGCAATTGAAAACCACCATGAGATACCACTACATACCTAAAAGTGTAACTAAAATAAAGAAGAATGTTAACACCAAAATGCTAGTGAGGACATAATGAAGATCATTCATATATTGCTGGAGAAATATAATGCAGCCACTCTGAAAAAATTTCTGGTAGTTTCCTAAAAATCTAAGCATATGCTTAACATACAATAAATAACATATTCCGGGGCACATATTTATTTCATAGAGCAATAAAAACGTGTTCTTGTAAAAAAAAATAAAATTAAGCACCATTGATCTATAACTACCATTACCCTATCTTTGCAGATCACTATTGGATTTTCCATAATTCTTGCACCCCCAACCTCCACGCTCCAAAATTCATGATCCTGTGGTTTCCTCTTTTCCCACCCTTAGACTCCCTGACCTTCCCTCCTTTCTCCATTGAACTTTTATACACATCTAACTAGTTATAATTCTATTTTTAAAATAATGGTTTATGCAGTATTTGTCCTTATGTGACTGCACAGTTCATTTTGCATAAAGCTTTCCAGCCTCTCCTATTCTATATAATATCTTTTAAAATCATTGCTCCTGAGTGCATAGTATTCCATCCTGTGAATGTAGCACAATTTCTTAATCCATTTGTTTGTTGATTAACATTTGAGCTGTTTGCATTTTCTTGCTTCTAAATAACACTGCTTTGAACATTGGTATACAAATCTCCTTTTGTATCTCAGTTCTGCTTTTCTTGGGACATATTCCTAGCAGTGGAATAGCTGGGTTGTATGGGATTTTTATATTGAGCTTTTTGAGGAAATGCTAAATTACTTTCTTGAGTGGTAGTACCATTTTGCAATCTCACCAGAAGCAGATTACCATTTCGATCTCACCACAGCTTCTCCAACATGTATTGCTTGCTGTCCTGTCAAACTTTGCCACTGTTATTGGAGTGAAATAGTATTTCATTGTGGTTTTGATTTGAATCTCTCTTATTGCCAGTGATTTTGACTATTTCTTCATGTGTCTATTGGCCATTCTAATTTATTCATCTGTGAAAAATCTTTCCATGTATTTTGCCCATTTTTTAATTTGGTTAACAAATATTTTTTTCTTGTGGAGGCCCATTAGTATCCTATAAACTTTCATTATGAGACCCTTATCTGAACTACCATTGCCAAATAATTTTTCCAGTCTGTAAGTTTTCTTTTCATCCTATTTGAAAAAGTTTTTTATGCACCCAGATACTTAATCTTTAAAAGGTCTCATTCATCTATGTGATCCTCTCATATATGTTTTTGTTAGTATTTGCCAAGCTATTTATGCCCTAGGCTAGGCCTTCTAAGTTTGGTTCCAATTTGTCTCTTATAATTTTTTCTTTTTTTATTTTATTTTATTACTTTTAACGAAAATTTACAGAGATTTTGGATTTCCATTCATCATTGTTGCATTTTTCTCCCTGACCACACCCCTCCCCAGTTTGATCTTCTTTTTGAAAAGTAAAAGAAAAATTCTTTCATTGGTATACAACCCCCCTCACCCTGCCCTGCCCCATGTACACTCCACTATGCAACCTTCATTCTGGACTCTTGTCATACCCAATCATATATCTTTTTTAAAAATTTTATTGGGAAAAACATATTGGGGGTACAAGGAGGTGAGGGTTGGGGGCAGAAGGGTGAAGATGGGCAAGGATGAAAATTGCAGGGGTGCAGTTGCAGAGCTGCACAATTTGGTTGGTGGGGGGAGCAGGTGAAGGAAATGAAAAGGATCCATGGGGGACCAGATGCTACAGGGGAATGGTAAACATATTCCAATGGTGATTAAACCAACTGACTTATTGATTTGGGAACTGGATACGGACTCTCTGGCTTCTTCATGCTGAACAGGGGCATAGATGTGAAGCAGGAAAGGGAGGACACTTTATCACCTTACTAGTGGTCTTGGGTTAAAGCTGTTTGCCTTCTTGTTCTGTTAGAAGATATTTTCCTGACATTTTCTCCTCTCTGGACTGCAAAGTGTTTTCACAGGTGGGTCCAGTGGGGATGACTGGTTGAACCCAGAGGCTCCACCCTCCTTTGCTTCCTTAGCTGTCAGTTTTATTTCCTTTTTGTCACTGGCACTGGGTTCAGGATCAGGTCTGGAGTAAAACTCAGTGTTAAGGTTACCTATAGGAAAGAGAACAGACTTGTGAGTTACAAATAGAAGGGCTTTGGGAGTGTTACTTTCAGGTTTACTGGGGGAGAGGGTGGTGGAACGTAGCCTAGATAAAATTCTCTGAATACTCTAGGCATTTTTTTCTATCCAGGGGTCAGATGGGGACTGAGGAGCTCACCCTGAGGGCCGTGATGGCTCGCCCCGAGCAGGGGGCTGAAGATGGTGTGTCCCGAGCAGGGCAGCCCCCCCACCAAGGGGTTGGCTGGTACACCTCCCCTCCAATTGTCCCCACCCCAGTCTGGACCCCTCGCCTGACCGAAGACTATGTAGCCAGGGACAGTGTCCCCAATTCCAGCACTACCACTTTTACTCCCCCATAAATGGTCATACTGTAATTTGAAGTAGGTGTCACTGCCCTCACCCTTTATAAATGGCAAAGGGAACCTGAGAGTTGTGAACAGACTCCTCCCAGGTCTAATTAGCTTTTGGCAGAAGCATTCAACAGATAAAAATATGTGGTGCATTTAGGATGCCGGTCCTCTTGGACATGCTGCCACTGTTAAGTGTCATCAAGTAGACAATTCACGGTGACTTTCAACAATCCATTGTATCAGTGATCTTCTTCTCTGGCCTGTCCAAGGAAACCCAAACCTGCAGGCCTCCGGGGGCGCATCTCCCACAGGTGGCCGCCTGCTTCTCCTGCCGCCTCCATCTTGGCTCCAAGAATTCTCCCCAGAACAAGTCCACTTTGTGGCAGTGTGGCAGCTCCGCTACACCAGTCTTGGGGAGGTCCGGTGCCTACCATCCCACCTTGGGTGAGGGAATCCCTGGGTTCTGGCAGCAGGAGCCTCATGGAGCTGCTGTGGTGGCAGTGCGGTGCGGGCTCGGCAGCAGGGGGCTGGGAGCTGCGGGACTCACCCATTCCTTCTTGGGAATCCTTGAATTCCTGTTGTTCAGCCTTGATCTTCACTGAAGACCAGTCATCAACTGTTTTAACTGTTCAGTTATCAATAAACAGAGGTCTGTAGAAGGCCATAGTGACCTTCCTCCAAGTGGTCCACTGCTCCTGCAGCTCACCACGTTGTCTCCACCTCCACCGCCATCTTGGATCTGTCTCATAATTTTTAAGATTTTGGGATTTATCTCTGGGTCTCTTATCTGCTTTAAATTGATTTTTGTTTATGGCATGAGATGTGAATCCTGCTTCAGCTTTCTGCAGGTAGACGTCCAGTTTCGCCAATACCATTGTTGAACAGGTTGTCATTTCCCCATTTCATTGATTTTTGTTTTGTTGTCCAGTACCAGTTGACTGTAGGGAGATGGGTTAATTTCTGGGTCCTCAATTCTGTTCCATTGGTCTATGTGTCTATCATTGAAACAGTACCATGCTGTTTGGGTCATAAGTGCTGTGTGGTAGGTGTTTGCTATGCTTCCCACTTCATTTTTGTTTTACAGAAATGCTTTGCTTATTCAGGATCTCTTTCCTTTCCAAATAAACATGCCAATTGCTTTTTCTATCTCCTTGAAAAATAAATTTTTGTTTGCTAGGTTTGTCGTTTTCATTATATTGAGTCTTTCTATTAATGAACAGGGAACATCTTCCCATTTATTTAGATCTCTTATTATTTATCCCAGTAGTGTTTTGTACTGGAAGCAGGAGCAGCATCCACTTCCGAAATGGCTTGCCTCCGGAAACTCTATGTGCGAAGAGTGCTCAGGCCTTTCGTTCATAGGGTCGCTATGAGTTGTCTATGACTTGATGACATCTAACAACAAACAATAACAGTGTTTTGTAGTTTTCCTTATAAAGGTCTTTTGTGTCTCTTGTTAGGTTTATTTGCAAGTATCTAATTTTGTGGTTAAGTATTATAAATGGTGTTGTTTTCTTGGTTTCCTTTTCTGAGTTTTCTTTGTTATTGTAGAGGAATCCCACTGATTTTTGGATATTGATCTTGTATCTTGACACTACTAAATTGGTCCACTATTTATAACAGGTTGTTTTTTTGTTAAGTCCTTGGGTTTGGGTTTGGGTTGTGTGTGTGTGTGTGTGTGTGTGTGTGTGTGTGTGTGTGTGTGTGTACACTATCATATCATCTGCATAAACCAACAGTTTAATATCTCTCTGTCAATATGAATGCCTTATATTTACTTCTCTTGTTGTATTGCCTTAGAAAGTACTTCAATACAATATTCAGTAGAAATGGTGACAGTGAGCATCCTTGTCACGAAAATGCTTTTAGTATTTCTCCACTGAGAATTATATTTACTCTTGGTTTTGCACATGTACTTTTTACTATATTGAGGAAATTCCCTTTTATTCCTACTTTGCTGAGTGTCTAAATCAGGAAGAGGTGCTGGATTTTGTCAAATGCCTTTTCAGTGCCACTTGAGAGGATCGTGTGGTTCTTGTTCTCTACTTTGCTAATGTAATGAATTACGTTGCTTATTTTTCTTATGTTGAACTATCCTTGCATACCTGCTTGAATCTCATTTGGTCATCAGAATTATTTTTGAATGTACTGTTTGATTGTATTGGCCAGGATTTTGTGATTTTAGTTTGCTTGCATCTATATTCAAGAGAGATATTGGTCTTAGGTTTAATTTACATGGTTTTTATATTAGGGTTATGCTTGCTTTATAGAATAACTCTTGTAGTGTTCGTTTTCTAATTTTTTTAAAGAGTGTAAGTAGAATTGGTGGTAGATGTTCTCTGAATGTTTGGTAGAATTCAACATGAAACCAACTAGGCCAGGTGTGTGTGTGTGTGTGTGTGTGTGTGTGTGTGTGTGTGTGTGTCAAAGGGAGGTTTTGTGTGAGTCTGTTCAAGTGTTCCACGCCATCCATGTCAGTCTGGGTAGGGCATGAGTTTTAAGGAATTTGTCTATTTCATCCAAGTTTTCAAATTTATCAGAGTATAGCTTTTCATAATATTCAGATTGTTGTTGTTGTTATGTGCCATCGAGTCACCTGCAACTCAATAGCTACCCTATGTACAATAATAGCTCTAAATCCTGCCCTGTCCCTTCCCAAACTTATTGTCTTTGACATGCTTATCCCCATTACCCTAGTGACTGAATCAATCCATCTCATCAAGGGTCTTCCTCTCCTGTGCTGTCCTACCACCCTCCCAATCATGACATCCCTCTCCAAGGACTGATCTTGCCTTGCAACATGTTCAAAATATGTCAGACAGAGCTTCAGAATCCTTGCTTCCAAGGACAAAGCCTGGCTTCAAAGATTTCATTTTCTTTGGTTCTGTTTTGATGTCACTTCTATCATTAATTAATTATCAGTTTTCTTCTTTTTCCGTTTGTTAAGTTTGTCAATGGTTTGTCGATTTTGTTGACGTTTTATCAGAACAAGCTCCCGATCTTAATGTTTCAGTTGTTTTTCTGTTTTCTATCTCATTTGTTTCAGCTCTTGCCCTTACAATTTTCTTCCTCTTAGAGGCTGTGGGGTTAGATTGTTATTTTTCTATTTGATGGAGGCATTAAATTAGGTCATTATTTTTTCTTCTGTCTTCCTTTTTTATTTATTTGCTTATTGCTATGAACTATCTCCTGAAGACTGCTTTAGCACTATTGGAGGTTCTGTTGTATTTTCATTTTTTAAGAAACTTTTAAATTCCAGTCTTTATTTCTTTTATGAAGATGTTATTTAGCTTCCACATGGGCAGCTCTTGTTTTTAATTTCTAGTTTTATTGAATTATGGTCTAAAAACATACTTCATATTATTTCAATGTTTTTGAATTTGTTGAGGCTTGCTTTGTATCCAATATATGATCAATTCTGGAGAAAGCACCATGTGTACTTGAGAAGAAAGCAAATTCACTTTTTGCTGAGTGCAGTACCCTGAATACATCCACAAGTTTGAGTTGCCCGGTTGTTCAGTTTATATCTTCTTCATCTTTGCTAAGTTCCTTTTAAATGGACCTATCCTCTAATGAGATGTTATGTTAAATTATATGATAGTATGTTAAAGTCCCCTACCACTATTGTGATATTGTCTATTTCTTTCTTTAATTCTGTTTCATGTATTATGCATGTCTATCAACCTGTATGCAGAAGAGATCATCCAAGAGGCTGGGCTCTATGAGGAGAAATGTGGCATCAGGATTGGTGGAAGATCCATAAACAATCAGTGTTATGCAGATGACACAACCCTGCTTTTTGAAAATGAAGAGGCCTTGAAGCGCTTGCTGCTGAGGGTCAAGGACTGCAGCCTTCAATATGGATTGAGGCTCAATGTCAAGAAGACAAAGGTTCTCACCACTGGACCAATTGACAGCATCAGAATGGATGGTGAAGAGATTGAGATTGTTCACAGCTTTAGTTTGCTTGACTCCACAATCAACACTCTTGGCACCAGCAGCCAGGAAATTAAAAGATGTATTGCCATGGGAAAGTCTGCTGTTAAGGACCCCTTTAAAGTACTCAAGAGCAATGGTGTGTTTCTGGAGACAAAGGTGCGTCTAGTACAGGCTGTGGTCTTTGCAATCACTTGTTATGCATCAGAGAGCTGGACAATGACCAAAAGGATAGAAGGAGAATTGATGCTTTTGAGCTTTGGTGTTGGAGAAGAGTGCTGAAGGTGCCATGGACTGCTAAGAGAACAAACAGATTCATCCTGGAGAGGGTTAAACCAGGCTATTCCTTGGAGGCAAGGATTCCGAGGCTTTAAAGGTCTGACATACTTTGGTCATGTTGTAAGGACAGACCGGTCCTTGGAGAAGGACATCATGCTTGGGAGGATGGAGGATAGGCGCAGGAGGGGAAGGCCCTCTGGGAGATGGATTGATTTGGTAACTGGGGCAATCGGGATGAGTGTGTTGGAGACAATGAGATTGGCACAGGACAGAGCAGAGTTTAGAGCTGTTGTACATAGGGTTGCTATGAGTAGCAAGCGATTTGACAGCACATAACAACAACAACAACAATAATTTGGTGCATAAATGTTGACCAAGGTTATGTCTTCTTGATCTTTTGTGCCTTGAATTATTGTATAGTGTCCATCCTTATCTTTTATTGTGATTTTTCATCCTGAAATCTATCTTATCAGAGATCACTGCTCCTGTTTTTTTGTGAGTGCCATTTGCTTGGTATATTTTTTCCAGCCTTTGACTTTTAGCCTATCTTTTTCCTACTTTTTATGTATATCTTTTAGGCAATATGTTGATTTGTGGTTTTTTTTAATCCATTCTGCTTCTGTTTTTCTCTTGACTACTACATTTTAACCATTTACATTAAATGTGATTATTGACAAGCTAGGTTTTATTGCTGCTATTTTGTTGTGTTTCCTTTTCCTTCCCCCCCCCCCTTGTTACTATGGTCTATCTAAGTTATCCCGGTAAAGAGATCATTAAAAAATGGCTAGAACAGTACATGGTTAGGGAACTTCCAGAAGATTAAACAGGATTTAAAAGATGCAGTAGCACAAGAGATATCATTGTTGGTGTCAAGTGAAAAGTATGTATGCATACTCAAGAGCCAACATTGTTCTCAATGGAGAGAGATTAAAGGCATTCCACTTGAGAACAAGAACTTGGCAAGGATGCCCACTATCACCTCTCCTATTCAATATTGTCTTGGAAGTCTTAGCAATAGCAATAAGGCAAGAGAAGGAAATAAGAGGTATCCAAATTGGCAAAGAGGAGGTAAAATTTTCTCTCTATGCAGGTGATATGACAGTATACTTAGAAAACCCTAAAGACTTAGCAAGAAAACTATTGGGCATAGTTGACCAATTCAGCAAAGTAGCAGGATACAAGATCAACATACAAAAAGCAATTGGATTTTTCTATAGTGACAAAGAGAA